GATGGTTATCTCTACAGACGACCGTCTGGATGGTTATCTCTACAGACGACCGTCTGGATGGTTATCTCTACAGACGACCGTCTGGATGGTTATCTGTAGAGTAGAAGAACACCATTGAAAGTCTGCTGCGAAGCAGAGTTTACTGGAATGTAACCAGACTGGTCTGTTTCTGTCCTCCGCCCCTGTAATCATGCGACTGTGGGACATCTGATATTAAAGGGCGGATGTTTGCTGTCTGCAGCTGGAAATGTGAAAAATGTCAGGAATGAAATGAAATCTTTAAGAATTTGTTTTTTATTCAATGTGCTGCTTTGAAAATGTTAAACCTTTATGCCTCCCACCACCTGAAATCAGGGACTTTCTGTCTCGGCAGTGGATCAGTGATGAGATTTCACCAGAACCTCTGGAGGAAAACTGCTTGTTGTGAGTTTATGGTTGGTAGCCATGATGATGCTGCTAGTTTCCAATGAAAGCCTCCTCTGTGATGCTGTAAACCTGAGGCCTATGCTCCCTCATTAAGGCAGAACTCAGCCAGCGCATGGAGCGCAGCTGTCAGGGCTCAGGGCATCCAGTGAAGGAGCGCCAAAAACGATCTGCAAAGATAGCATGAAACATTGCTTTGGTTCTGCTCAAGTTAAATCTGCAAATGTCTGGAAGAAAACATGTTTTGCCAAGGTGTTGGAAAATAATAATAATAACGGTGAATTTTAAAAATAGTGGACTTTACATGCAAGTATTGCAAAGTGTTTGGTCCCGTTTCTCTCATAGACATGGGCTTAGCTTTCACTGACTCAATGGATTTTCTTTCAGAGCTCCTCTGATTCACAGGTTCTTTCCCAGACAGAGGTACCGGTGAAGCTAGCTAGTTTACTGTTGGCTTCTCTAAGCTTCGCTAAACTCTACGAGTTTTTATCTTTTTTGGCCGCTTCTCGTGTAAGGATTTTTTTGGATCAGGCTGAGGTTCATCATGCATTGTGTAGTGTACAGGAGGTAACGAGGAGCGATCAGCCTCTGATGACCACATCCCCATTAGGAATGGTTTTGTCAGGAGAAAATCAAACCTTTGTAATTCAGTTGGCATTGGTGAGATTTACCTGAACCTCACTCACTGCACATGATCAAACAAGGACCAGATTAATAACCTGTAGAACTGAAATAACGTTCGACACGTTATCAGTGAGGCTGATGTTTATGAATTTTCTTTTTTTCCAGCTTTCCTCCCTCTATACTTCTGTGAGTCAACCAACGGGAACGCTGTTGCTATCGTTAAAGCAGAGCATTTCTATTCGTCCACACACAGAATGAAGTTTGTTTAATTCAGTCTCACAAAAAACGTTTTTGAAAGAAAATCAAACATTTAAAAAAATACGTAGTACAATTTTGCAAAGACACAAAGGCCTTATTTTTGGATTTAAATGTGTTTTAAAGTTCCACTTTTAAAAAGTTGCATAACATTGAAACACGTTTTTTTCTCCAGATTTGAACCCTGGCTGGCCTCGGCACAGTGGTTCTGGAGGTTGCTTCCTGTTAAACAGGAGTTTTCCTCTCCACAGTTACTGCGTGCATGTCCCCACATCTGCTGCAAGCTGAGGTCTGGATCACAATTAGCTGGTTTTCCTTAAAAAACTATTTTCTCCAAACATGTTATGAACCGGGTCCTTGGAAATAAACGAAATTAACTGAGAAATAAAAGAAATCAGGAAAATAAACATTTTTATATCAGTCATTAAATCTGGAAAAGCGTTTTTTTAGTTGGTCCGTCTTGCTATTAAAAATCAAACCCTGTTGACCCGACCCATCATGTGTTCCAGGTGCTAACAGCTAACCAGGCTAAGTTAGTGCGGAACCTGTGAAGGGACCCAAAGGGAGAAAAGACAGCCCTTTTCTGATGGTTCGGTTCCTTTGTTTTAGGCAGAGAGTCCATTTAGTGGCGTGAAAACGCTTCCTGTAGAATCTGGAGGAAGCTGCTGCCCGTCATTCAGAACTTCTGCAGAACCCCTGCAGGCAGAGCTGTGTCAGCAGGAACGTCCTCATCGGACTTGCAGCGTTCAGAGAGGCTTCAGGTTACCGTCTGCTCTGTATTCCCTTCAGGTGATCGATGAGATTTACCGCGTGCTGCGCTACGTGAACTCCACCAGAGCCCCCCAGCGAGCCCATGAGGTCCTGCAGGAGCTGAGGGACATCTCCTCCATGGCCATGGAGTACTTTGATGAGAAGATCGTTCCTATCCTAAAGAAGAAGCTTCCAGGGACTGATCTGTCTGGACGTCTCATTGGTTCTGCACCAGGTCGGTTTAAAACCCAAAAAAAGATGTTTGACATGGAAGCCGTCTGGCGTCAGGCATCACTCTCCAGACATTGACAAAGCAGTTCCTGTAAAAATATTCATATTTTCTGTGTAACTGCATTATAAATGTTACCATCTAGAAGTAGTTGCATCATTTCAAAACCAGTGATTGGGTCAGAACAGTTACAAGAAAACCGACATGAACTCACGTTATTGGCTGTCTCCCTAAAATAAAGCATTACAGCGGTGAGTCCGTCTGATGAGGAGCCAGGCAGAAAAACTGGACCATCCAGTAAAACGCAGGCTGGGGGAGGGGCCTGTTCCCCTCTGCCGGTCTGTCCTTCAGTCTCACAGCTTTCTGCTGGTCCAACATCTTCTGCCTGCAGCAGTTGGAGGGAAGCAGCTGGTTTGAAGGAAGGAAACCAGCCAGAAATCACAGCAGACTCTTGGCTTAGGATGGCCTAGTCAAAGTCCAAACCTAAATTCATGTTCAGAGCCCCTGATTGAGCAGAAATGTTCTGCCTGGAGGTGGTTGAAGCTGGAGGAGACGTTTCTCCAGGTTCTGCTGCTCTGATCCGCTTCAATTTCTGAAATGTTCTGGTTAGTGATGAACAAAGTTTGAGGGGGTGTAAATATTTTGATGTCCACCTGCCCCTCAGTACTGGTTCTGGGTATAGATTGTAGCTGCAGGACCAAAAATCCCCAATAATCCAGGGCTTTTAGTGGGCATGAAACGGTTCTGATCGTCCGTCCTGTCTCCCCAGTGGCCGGACCCTCCACGTCGTTGACCACCATGTCGCTGCTGGCTAAGAACACCCCCTCCCGCTCAGAGATGACCAAGGTGCAGCAGCAGGTGAAGGTGAACGGCGCGTCGATGACGGTGCTGCGGCGGGAGATGCAGGAAATCCGGGTGAAGCAGCTGGAGCAGCAGAAGCAGCTTCAGGACCAGGAGCAGAAGCTGCTGGAGCAGAGCCAGGTGATCGGCGAGCAGAACGCCCGCCTCGCCGAGCTGGAGCACAAGCTGAGGGAACTCATGGACAGCAGCGCCGCCGCCATGGGCGAGCCCAGCTCCTCCACAACCTCTGCCTCTGCCCCGTCCTCCTCCTCCCCCGCTGCTGGCACGCCGGTGGGCGGCGCGGCCCCGCAGGCGGAGGGCGGCTCCTCGCTGAAGCGCAGCAGAAAGAGCTCCGACCTCCCCCGACAATCCAAGCGGCTGCGCAGCAGGAAATGACTCCTCCTCACCATGTAGATGTAGTCGTCAGTTTTCCACACTCCGTATCCATCCGCCTCCTCCCCCGCCCCTCACCTCGTGTCACAGACACCTCCTGTGGCGTTTGGACTTTTGACCTCTTCTGATACTTCCTGACCTACACAGCTGCAGCCCCGAGGCCGCGGGCCTGGACTTTGGACTGCAGGGTTGACGTCAGGTCAGGACGTCCCTCAGAGGACCGTTGGACAGTGCTCAGCGTGGACAGTTGGAGGCTGACATCTGAGAACATTCATGGAGGTCAAGGTCTCCGTCTTGGAGGTTCATCCCTGTTGAATGCAGACATCCAGACGGTCTTTGATTTTAAGATGAAGTCTTTATTTTTGTTGTTGAGCCTGGAGACTGAGATGGACGCCAAGAAGCTCCTTCTGCCCTTTGACCTTTAACCTCTGTATAGTTCATGGCTCGGTTGCTTTGGAGACACATTTTCTCCAGGATTGTTGAAGGTAAAGAAAACGTTTTAAACAGGAAAAAGTAAACTTCAAAGTGAAGAAATGATTTCTAATTTCTAGGTTCAATCGATATTTTTTTTTACATTTTCTTTTTTTTTTCCTTTTTTTTTTGCATTATTTTGAAATCTCTTTATCCAGATTTCAAGCTCCACGCTTTTGCATAAAAAAATCTCAAAAAAACGTTTCTTCATTTTAGAAGTTTCTCAAACTTCCGTTAAATTAATTTGTTTTCATTTTCTGGCTTTTAATTCAAATGTTCTTTGCATTCAATAATATTGGAACATTTCTCTCTATAGTTTCTATAGTTACCAGCATTAAAAACATTATGTTAGGTCAACCCAGATCAATCTGGCATACAGAGAGAGAACAGAGCTGCCCCACCCCCGCTTGTTGCTGCACACAGACCATCAGCTGGCTGCAGGCCGCTACTGTCGGCTTGTTAAGATGCTATTAAACAAGCAGCTTCTCTTTATTTTTCATTAAGTCCTTTACGCTGGAAGGACTGAAACAAATGTGGCAGATTTTTTTTTTTGCAGCTGCAGCAGTGGGAATAGATGGTGCTTCTCACCGTCCACACCAGATTTTCTACATTTCAGGTCATGTTAGACATTTTTCCATGTTTCTGTGGATGTTGTGTGGAACTGTGGAGGTTATGGTGGCGAGCTGTACCACCTTTCAGATAGCCCCCCCACCCCCGGCTTCATGCCTGCAACAGACTGCGCCTGGAGGTATATGGAGAGAAATTGTTTCTAATAATTGCAACAACAAAAAAGATTTTTTTAGGTTACATTCATTTCTGGTTTTCTTATATTTTTTCCACATTTTATTTTGACTGATTTATTTATTGATTGTTTTTTTTTTGGATGGGAAAGATGATGGACTTCGATCCTCTCCAAGAATCTGAAAAATAGAATAAAATCTGAAAAACAAAACAATAAAATAACAAAGTAAACTTTTGCAGACACATAAATAAATCACAAAAGCTATTTTAGAATGAAAAGTTTTCCTAGGTTTGATTTATTAATTTTTTTTTTATTTTGGAACAAATTTCTCTCCATAGCTCTGAGTGGATGGCTGTAAATCTGAAAGATGTGGGGAAGGTTTCTCTCTATTCTGAGCCTTGGCATCAAAGTGTCATCAAAAAGAATTTATCTTTCTTTCCCTGAAAAGGTCTAAAGCTTTGTGGTTCCTCTTCAGTAAAATACGGCCTAGTTAAAGGAGAGCCGGTGCCGCCTGCTGCCCGTCAGGTTATTATTGCACCGTTTTTAAAACTGAACAGCACCTCCTGGCCTCGGCTCAGTGACAGGAAGCTCTGACTGGTCTGCAGAGAAGCTCTCAGCTCCTCCAGGACTCTTATCTCGCTTGTTTGGCTTCTTTACATTCATTTGTGTGGTTGGGATGAGCAGAACCACTCATGGCATGACTCTCTGGAAATGCACTTGTGTGTATTATAGTAACACTGGGCTGTAATCTAGTGGCTTAATGAGAGCAATTGTACTGTAATCTCCATGTACTTTAAGATGTAGATTGTTGATTATTTCATGTTTGGAAAACAAAGAATATTCTTTAAAGTTGGCAAGTTTGAGTCCAACTATGAAGTTTTGTTGCACATATTACTGTTTCCATGTTTAAACCAAACCTATTAAATATCAGCAGCTGTGAAGCTCAGGTTTGTCTGTTTTGAGTGTGATTTTTCAATCAGATGTAATCTTTATAAAGGAGTCATAACCTGGTATTTAGGAGGGGGGGCACTGCCCAAGGCAGGGCCACCCTTTGACTATTGCTAATGTTAATTCAGCCTATTGTATTTAAATTCCCCTTTAATGCTTTTTATTTAAGCATTAATTGAATGCAATTCAAGTCAGTTCATTTCTATAGCGCCAATTCACATCATGGTAGCTTTAGAGACAATTCAACCAGATCATACAGTCAGATTGGTTCAGAGTTTTCTAAGGAAAAACAGTTGATTGCATTGACTCTTAGGCAAGCCCTCACACTAGGCGTACTTCTAGCGACAGTGGACAGGAAAAACTCATTTTTACCAGGAAGATCTTCCAGCAGAACCAGGCTCAGTGTGAGCGGCCATCTGCTGAAGCCAACTGGGGTTCATGGAGACAGAAGCAGAGATACGAAAGGCAACTGTCAACCAGCTCCATAGGTGGCCCTGTCCAGGAAACACACAGCCAGGCAGACGAGCTCCGAGCCAGCTCCCATATCAGAGGATGAAGAGAGCACATCCAGTTAGTCACAGTCAGAGAAACAGGACTACACTGAAAAACAGGCCGATCTCCAACATCCATAAACNAACCAGCTCCACAGGCGGCCCAGTCCAGGAAACACACAGCCAGGCAGACGAGCTCCGAGCCAGCTCCCATGTCAGAGGATGAAGAGAGCACATCCTGTTAGTCACAGTCAGAGAAACAGGACTACACTGAAAAACAGGCCGATCTCCAACATCCATAAACAAAGGTGTTGATGGCAGCAGCACAGCTAATATTTCTCTCCAGGATGGAGTCACAGCTAAACAGGAACAGACCAGATGAAGCTACTATGAGAAAAAGCAGAGAGAGCAGAACCTTAGAGACTGAACTAACAGATTCTGCAGAGTGGGAGAATAGAGATAGAATGATCAAATAGGGGCCCCTATGTCCTCCAGCAGTCTAAGCCTATAGCAGCATAACTATAGTGCTGCTCAGGATAAACTGAGCCACTCTAACTATAAGCTTTATCAAAAAGCAAAGTTTTAAGCCTAACTTAAAAGTAAACAGGGTGTCTGCCTCACAGACTAAAACTGGTAGTTGGTTCCACAGGAGAGGAGCCTGGTAATATAATAAGTCAAAGGTTAAATACAGATAGTGACTGCTTGCATTGGAGATAGAAATCTGAGAAAATGGCAAAGTTACTCTCCAAACCTTTTCATAATCAAAAAGCTTTTCAAAACTTCATTTACAGATTAGATTTTTTTGAAATTTTGATTTAGAATATTTTTTTTCCAATTCCATTTACAAAACATAGAGCTTGCCAGCAACAATAATGGAACAACATTCACTCCATACACACACAGTGCTGAATATTGAGCTGGAAAATAATTAGTTCTAGTTAAACTAACACTGGGGTCAACGGTTCTGTAGTGTTACTGTAAAGTGATCCTGATGACTGAACCCACAGGATGCTGCAGTGACCAGACTCTTCCTTCCACCTGACGTCAGGAGATGAGCACCACAGGCTTCCTTAGTGTACGTGCATATGCACTGTGATGGACCAGAAACTGGTGATCTGTCATCATGCTGAAACAACCAGCTGGCTCTCAGCCTGAAGCCCATCTGATCAAATCTAAAACATGAGGCACATTTTCTACATTCCAGGATCCTGCAGCTGACCTTATCAGGAGGCCTTATCTCCTGTAGGTTAGGAGTCATTAGGAGACACACAGAGGGGGAGGATATCCATTCAGGGGGTCTGGGCCAGTCTGTTGTCATGGTCATCATACTGTTTAACTCCTCTGTATTTATGACTGCTTGTTGGTTCAGAGGTGAAAATGTTTCTTTCCTGTAAAAAGGAATCAGATTCCTCACCCAAAGTACGGAAAGCCATTTAAAAATTTAATACTATGTCAAATTTTAGATAGCAATTTTTCTGATTTCACATATAAAGATCAGTGTGTGTGGATTTCTATGGAAGCTAGTGGTTTATTAAGTCCTCTGTGCCACTAACACACAAGCCTGCATGCATTTAGTCATGAATTACAGCAGTCAGCTGTGAAGAGTGATGGTTAGCGTGCAGGAAGCTCTGGAGCTCCTTATAAGCGGTTTAAGAATCATCTGAATCTGCTAGTTCTCATTCCGTGTGCAGGAATGTGTCCTAGTTATCTGCAACATGAAACCTCCGCCTGCAAAGCACACAGAAAGGACGGAGCATCACATGACAGTTTGCCGTCTGGGAGAACAACAGAAACCTTTATTGTGCTCAAATATAATGTCTTTCTTTCTTCTAATCGTTTCCCTCGACAGATCGCTCAGATTTACAACCTTTACGTATTTCTTTCACGCGCCTGTATTAATCACTGGATGATTTCTAAGAGAAAGCAAACAGGAAATTCTTCTCTCATTTTTATTGCTTTATTACTTAGATAAGACTTAATAGTTGAGCTTTATAGTAGAATAATCTGGAGGTTAATTTGCTGTTGGTATCCTTTGGTTTGACCTAAGTCCTTTACTGCCTGAACCAAACTGAGCCATGATGTGTCATAAGGAAGCAAGCAAAGATTCCTTTTTTTTTAATGTAAATTTGAAGAGAAAAAACCCAGAAATTAAACTTTGAAAAAGGTCTTAATTAAAAGAAATTTTCAGAGAAACTTTGCTGTTTTCACTAGTTTTATTGTTGATGTTTTTATATTCAAATTTTTATCTTCTAATGTTCTTCTCAAATGAAGTTAAGGAATCGCATTATTTTCAAATCATGGCCCTAAAGCCCCAAACAGATGATCGCTTTTCACCAATAAAAATGTAGTTGCTAACAGCAGGGCAACAGAAACCCATCTTTGCTTGGTGCTCCAGAGGAAAGACCCCCGCCCCAGATGAGAAGCTGATCTGGAAATCCCAATCTAAAAAGAATGCAATTCCTAAAATTGAATCTGTAACTGAAAATTAATTAAAACATTAAATGACAAACAGCAAGGTTAATCTCAAAACCTTTTACAATTATGTTTTTTAAAAGCTGAATGTCTAGATTGCATATATTATATATTTCCGTAAAAAAAAAAAAAAAAATGTTTTTTTTGCTTGCTATGATAATGGAATAAAAACGCCTCCATACAGCTGCCATTTTCTCTTGGGAACCTTCTGCATTATCTCAGCATGCAGCAGCTGAACAGACGACTCCACAACAATCAATCCAGACAGTTTTATTTACTTTATTTGAGCAGTCAGGCGAGGTTTACACCTACCAGGTAGCTTAAGTGATATAACTGATGTTGTATTAATGCTCTGAAGTGGAAAAACACAAAGGAGGTTAAGCGCAGAAGAAAGAACGGCCACACACCAAGGTACACAGAGACAAAGGAAAAGTTTATTTCCAGGATTACAGCAGTTCTTTACTGAACATCAAGCAGAACTCTTTATAAGGTGATAAAAATGGGACAAAATGAAAGTCTGATTGTAGAATTTATAATAGACAAAACATCCCTCCAGATCTGTAACCAAACTTCTTCTGAGATCATAAGGTTTGCCTATTTTTCCAATCGTCTGACATAATCTGCTGACCTCTTATTCAGAAGTGGAATGGTTTTATACTCCTTTATTATCCCTTATCAACCTTGGAAATGTTTATCCCCTGCTGGCAGTTCTCCGTTTATCAGTAAAACTCAGTTCATGACTGATAAACCATCTAAGTTGGAAGCCTGGATTAACGCTGTTCAAGAAGAAGATAATCCAGATGGAAGAACTGAATCTGGATCACGATAAGATGCTGGACTATACGGCTGACCTTCATGAGGCCCAAAGCTACTCTGCCTCTGAAATGATGTTTCAATATGTCTGTTCCTCCTTTTATTATGTTGTTTTTTTCCCCCATTTTTTCTTTTGTTTATATCTAGGTCTTTTGTTAGCAGTCTATGCCTACTTTGATTAGCTCAGAGAGGAGATGCAGGGATTGAATAGGGAGGAGGGATAAGGGGATAAAAAGAAGAAAGCAGAGAGTTAGAAAAGGGAATAACGGGGCAAAAGGAAATGGGAAAAAGGAGAGTAGAGAGTTAGATAGGAAAGAAAAAACAAAAAAAGAGATACTGGTTGTTGGACAATCATATAGAAAGATGATCAACTGATGAGAGACCTGTAAGAGTTTGGTTCTACATTCTGTGTAAAACAAACTTTATATGTAACTGCTAAATAAAAATTAGAATAAAATAAAAGACTCAGTTTATGCAATAATTTATTTTTTCCATTTTGGTTCTCTGCTGGTTCTGTTTATGCAGCAATAAGACTAAATACCTCAGAAGCGCAGCACTGCTGCCTTGCAACAAGAAGGTTCTGGGTTCGATTCCCAGCCAGGAGTCTTTCTGCATGTTCTCCCTGAGCATGCGTTGGTTCTCTCCAGGTACTCCGGCTTCCTCCCACAGTCAAAAACATGACTGTTAGGTTAATTGGCTTCTCTAAATTCTCATTAGGCGTGAGCGTGAATGTTTTTATTGCCTCTGTGTTGCCCTGCAGTGGACTGGCGACCTGTCCAGGGTGTACCCCGCCTCTCACCCGTAGACACTTGCCATCCCAGCGGGGATAAAGCATGACAGAAAATGAATGGTTTGATAGATTGAACACTACTTCCTGGGGGTGTGCAACCTTTCTCCAGCTGCTTGATGTTTGCATCACCCAGTAGGCAGAATCCACTATCCACAGACTGACTGATAACCATGCTGACCTTTAACCTCTGAAAATCATCAGAAACTGAGAGAACTCTTCCTGTGATGTAATCACTGGTGAAACTTAATCCCTCCTCATTGATGATTGATTCTATCTGTGAACCTCTGAGGAAAAACCCCCAGAACAGGACTGGCACAGGTTTTACTCTACTCTTAGTTCTGATGATTATTATCTTTATGTAACTTTTATTAAAACCCAGAAGAGTGAACAGCCTGCAGACATGAACTCTGGGTAAAGATGACAATCAGGAAGTGATTTAAAGCGATTTCAGAAGCTGCGGTTTTTCTCTTTCCTGCATTTTCTCAGCTGCACAGAACCCATGTTAGGTAACAGAGACGCAACAATTGACGTAACGCGGCGAGAGGGCGGGGCTTAAACCGCTGCTGCAGGGCCGTAGGGAGACAAGGACGCCCCGGACGCTCCGAATCCAAGCCGAACTTTTGGACCTTCTCCTTACCATTAGGCTGGGCCCGCTGCTGGTGCCGCCGCGAGAGAAGATGGGGAACCGAGTGGGCCGCGAGGACTACGAATGGGTGTATACGGACCAGCCGCACGCGGACAGGAGGAAGGAGATCCTGGGTGAGCTAGCTTCCAGTTAGCAACCTCTCAGCCGGAGAGGAAACTTTACAGGGTTTTAAATTCAGGTTTAAAGTCGTTACGATACGTAGCGTCGGTTTCTGTTTTATTATGCAACAAGCTGCGGGTTTAGTGGGAAGTTCCGGGTTTCCGCTCCGGCGAGCAAAGCTAACGGTCCCGATCACGCAGGGTTTAAGCTAACAGGGCGGCTCAGACTAACGGTCTGTGGCCTGAGGGATGTTACATAAACATGGCTGCTCCCTGCTGCTGCTGAGTTATTTCATGTCCGTCACGCAGGAATTGAATAACATTTCTACAGAATGACAGGGAGGGGGGGCTGAACCACACCCCAACAGGAGAGGCTTAATGCGGGATATGAGGGAAGATGGCTGCTTTGAAATAATCACACATTCCCCAGGTGGAGACAGGAATAACTGCGCCCCGGTCAGTTATTATCCTCCGCTGCATCACAGAATATCATCTGATTCTAACCCAGATGCCACCACGCCAAGACTAGCCGTGACGAGGCAGTAACTCTCCCTACCAGTAGGTGGCGGTAATGCGCCGGAAGGCTGTATGAACCCTCCTTTAAAATTGGAAGTGGTTGGAAACTGATTAACTGAACACTGAACTATGGGCGTTTCTCAAATCACTAGAACGCGAGTACAGACTCGTGTTCTTGAGAAGAACACAGAAAAGTGTGGACTCTAGGAGAACGGTAGCATACAGCATACATATGGCTCAACTGGAACAGAAGCGTACTTGTGATGTCATCACACTTTCTGCTCGTCTGCAGATGATAATAAATTCTAACTCTTTTCATTTATTGGGGGAATGATAATTAACACAGTCTGATGAACACTAATCAAATGAACATTTTGCCAAATAAAACAAAAAAACTCGCCATCAGAGCCAGCGGTCCTTCACACACGGCTATGCAGAGAGAGGGCTGCTAGTCAATCTGAAGAACGGACAAGTCTGCTCTGATGCATTCTGGGTAAAGAGGGAGTGGCAAGAACATCATCCGGGGACTTTGTCAGTTCTTGGTCTTCTATTCTTGTGAAATGGAACAGTACTAGTGCTGAGGATGATGATGTTTCAAGAGCACATGAGAACGCACAAGTACTGCGGCCCACAACTGCAATTTCAGTTTCCCCCACTAAATTAAAAAGTAAGTATTTATTATTATCTAGACTATTGATAACTGGAGGGGAAATGCAGCTCTAGACGAGCATGTGATATCATCAGTACGGTTCTAATTGACCCATATTTGTGCTGCCGTTCTCCCCCAGTCCACATTTTCTTGGGTTCTTCTCAAGAACATACTTGGCGAGGACACAAGTCCATTCTGGCGTTCTTTTGAATTGAGAAACAGCCACTGATATAAAGTTTGAACGATGTTTTGTGTTCATCTTCTGTCCATTGGTGAACACCCTTTAGGTCCATTACTGCCTCCTACTGGTGAGGAGATGGTTCTACATCCTTGTTTATTTTACTCCTAAATTTTGGTAATTTCAGATTAAAAAGTGTATTTAAAGTTGCGTTTTGGTAAATTGTGTCTAATTGCCGAGCACTAATTAATATTGGTCTAAATATTCGTAAAATGTGATAAGACACCCAACTGTCAGAGGTAGTCATGATGACGCCGTGAGCTCCAGTGGAGGCCAAGGGAATGGTTGGCGTCCCGTCAGGTTACATAACATCATGTCAGGTGCTGTGAGAACAGATTTGCTGATGATGCTTAGGTTTGTGTCGTCATGGTTTCTCTGTCAGCATCTGACCTTTGCCTCATTTCCCCTTCAGCTAAATATCCAGAAATCAAGTCGCTGATGGGTCCGGACCCCAGGCTGAAATGGATTGTGTGCATGATGGTGGTGACCCAGTTCTTAGCCTTCTACCTGGTCAAAGACTTGGACTGGAAATGGGTCCTGTTTTGGACGTACGCGTTCGGCAGCTGCATCAACCACTCCATGACCCTCGCCATCCACGAGATCTCACACAACACTGCCTTTGGAAACAACAAATCCATGTGGAACCGCTACTTCGCCATGTTCGCCAACCTGCCCATCGGACTGCCCTACTCCGCCTCCTTCAAGCGCTACCACCTGGACCACCACCGCTACTTGGGCGGCGACGGCGTGGACGTAGACATTCCCACAGACTTTGAGGGCTGGTTCTTCTGCACGCGCTTTCGCAAGTTCGTCTGGATCATCCTGCAGCCGCTGTTCTATGCCGTGCGGCCCCTCTGCATCAACCCCAAACCGCTCAGCCAGCTGGAGATGATCAACGTGACGGTCCAGGTGGGCTTTAACTTCCTGCTGTACTGGATGTGGGGGGCTAAGCCTGTGGTTTACATGCTGGCCGGCTCCATGCTGGGGATGGGCCTGCACCCCATCTCTGGCCACTTCATCGCCGAGCACTACATGTTCCTCAAGGGCCACGAGACCTACTCGTACTACGGCTGCCTCAACCTCCTCACCTTCAACGTGGGCTACCACAACGAGCACCATGACTTCCCCAGCATCCCTGGGAGACGGCTTCCTCTGGTGAGTACGGCTCCACGCCACCTCCGCCTGCAGAGGAGGAGGTCCGTTCCTTTGCTGATCCCACCGTTGCTCTGTGTTCCAGGTGAAGAAAATCGCCTCAGAATACTACGATGACTTGCCTCAGTACTCGTCATGGGTGAGGGTGCTGTACGACTTCATCATGGACGACAAGCTGAGCCCGTACTCTCGGATCAAGAGGAAGTTAAAGGGAGACGTCAAGCAGGAGTAACAGAGCTTCTCCAAACCAAAGCTATAGAATCCATATGACTGAGGCCTTCTCACATTTCTGACTTTCTAACTCTTTCTTCATCAAGTTCAGCTCATGGGGGGGGGTAACGTTTGTTACTGAGATTTTTACCTTCAGGTTTTGGAATGTGACCAAATCTTTCTTCCCTTTCAGGCCAGCTTGGTTGGTAATGGGGGTTATGTCTTAGCTTAGCAGTAAACATCCCAGCTACCTTTTACTGGTTTTTAATTATCAGATGAGAAAAATAAAATCAGAGTCTTTTCATTCTCACTGCCATATTTGGTCCTTTCTGTTTGGACATTAAATCCTACAGTCAGATTTTTCTTATTGGGAGAAATTTGGGCCAAAATTCCTGAAGGTAAAGAGCGGAAATTAGGGAACTTTCTTCATATAGAATAATGTTTTAAATGCATCTGGTGTTTGCAAAAGTTAACTGATATTTTTACAGTTTGCTGTTTCTTTTTGATTTTAATTCTGAGATTTTTTTTTGGAGTTGCATCTTTTCTTTTCAAATTTTTCCCATTTTCTACCTTTCTGGGTGAAACCAGAGCCATTAGGTTAGATAGCATTTCTATTAGTTTGTGCCTAGAACAATCAGAACCGACCTCCTTTTTTGTTTTTTATGAAGCCCGAAAAAAAAAACAAGCAAGCTGTAAAAATGTAGCTAAACTTTTGTATTTTCACCTTTCCATTTTTTAAAGGTTTCAGTAATACTGGAACTTATTTCTCTCCATATTCTAACCAGCCACCACAGCTTGGCTGAAGAAGCTTCTGGACAGCTGGTTGCCATGACGCTAAATGTTAATGGTGTGTCCTGAAAGAAGCTTCTGGATCCACATGTTAGAGATTGCTGTGGTCCTCGACACAAAGCGGCTTCCTGAAGCGGCCCCTCCAGCCAGATGGAGCCTTATTGAGGATGGAATCGGCTTCTTGGCTGAACCGATCCGCTCTAACCTAAAGCTCAGACGCTCTGCAGGCCTCACTGATGCAGCTCCTGGTGTCCTAACTGTCCCTGCTGGTGTGACGAAGGTCAAACGTGTCTCCATGATGATGAAGTGTTCCCGGGGCCACCCAGGAGCCGAAGGTTCGGAATGTTGGGACACACAAACAGTTACTGATGCATTCCATAAGCTCTCCCCCCGCCCAGCTGAGGGGGTGACGTCCATCACTCTTTATGTCTGATAGCTGCTGTAAGTCCTCCGGTTCGGTCCAGTCTCTATGAAGAACCAGCCGTTGGCTTTCCAAACTTTTAAACTCTAGGTCATGTATTTGTTGCACTAAGCCTCGCTGTGCCTGTTAAAGTTCTAGATGAACGCGTTTTTAATTTCTTCTTCCGCTGTCGGTGCTCTGCTTGTTCACTTTGATTTTATTCTCAGTATTGTGCTTTTTAACTCAAGGCAATAAAACAAATACTTATTTTCCTACAGTGGAAACGGCTTCTGTCTTTGTTTGTTCCTTCATGGTGAACGCGTCCAGCAGCGTGAGAACAGAGCGAGCCAAAAAGAAGGATCAGGTTTATCATTTAATCCCTTTATGCTAATTCCCCCCCCCCAATAACAAACATCTAAACCTCCAGAAGTCTGTTCAGGTTCTGAACCCAGAGAAGCTTCATGCAGACGGTTCAGGAAGGAAGCTCTGGGTCCATTTACATACAGGTTTGGTTCCAGAACAATCTCTGTCAGGATAGACCTCTAATCTCCAGATTAGAGAAGCAAGAAGAATGGTAGGTAGAAGGTTCTGTCCTGGGATGAGACCAAACTTTGCTCTGCAGCCTTTTCCTTTCACAGTCACATTTTAGATTTTATTTTTTTTTAAAAGCCCAGTGAAACATTTGCTTTAACAGAATAAAAATACAATTTTTACAAAGGGAAAAACTATTTTGTAGAATGAGGAAAGCTGATTAATGATGGCACACCTAGAAATATAAAACAGTTCAAATCAGGATGTTTAATTATGAATTGTTAGAATCCATTTTAAAATAGTTTATCATTTAAGGCTAAACTTTCTTGTAGAATCTCTTTAAATTTAATGAAATGCAAACTACGAGGTTCTTTTGCAAACTTAAGAAATTCCTTCTATCAGTTAATGTTCTGTGCTGCTTTATCATGTGTTCAACACGTTAAATCAACCTTTGAGCAGCCTAAAAACAATCATTTCTCTTTAAGGCCTCCGTTACAGACTAAAGCCACACCATGCAGACCCTCTGCCAGCAATAAGGAACCTATTTGCTGGGGATGTTGGTCAAGAGGACCCCAGTTATTTTATTAATTTAGACTCAAAGAATTGATTAAAACTTGACTGACGAGATTTTAACCCAAAATCTAGAGTAAAAAAACAAACTATTATAACAATGCAACATTTATTAAAGGTGAAAAATAACAGAGTATAATTACTCATGTAGCGCTTTTTTTTTTGGAATCTGCAGTTAAACTTTACATTTGAACTCCAATCAGTACGCTTTGATCCTTCCTCATAACGTCTTCATATTTAGATAATGAAATGGGAAAAAAAAAAAAAGAGTAGGAGCTGTCAATCTGGAGCCCAGTTAGTTCAGAGAAGACAGAGGCTGGAAATGCAGCAGCTGACTCTGAGACGCAGTCATTCCTTATCTGTTACCTGTTTATGGGCTTTTATATTTACTTGTGAATTGCTTTACAAGTTCTACTTTCATTCTTAGGCTGTTTGCAGCTTTAATGCTGAAATCAGCAGAGCTCTGCTTCTGCAGGACTTGTGTCCAGCTCAATCTATATCATCCTGTCTGCCGTTTTAACATAGGGGGCAAAAGGGGAAAATTGACCTATTTATTGTGAAGAGACATTGTTTTCTGTTACAAATAGGTTTTAAAATGTTGTCTTTAATTTTTTCTTATCATTCAAGGCAAAAACTTCATGTCTATCCTGTTGTTTTTTAACCAAATTTTATGTACTTTGATGTGCTTTAATGTCAGAGTGCTCACATTCTGTATTTCAGTATCTCATCCTGGCTAAATTAGGACATGCAGACTGTATTTATTTTTGTTGTATGTATTTTTTATTTAAAATACTCAAAATTAAATGTAATGTTTAAGGAACGAGAATCAGACCTGAATGACATTTGAAGTTGTATGAAGAACAAACGTAGTGATTTTCTTTTGAAAAGTTCCTTTTAGAAGTAAAGGTTCTGTGCTGGCTTTGTCATGTGTTTAGAGTCATTAAAAAGCAACCTTTGACCCAACTATTAGTTTAATCTGAGATATATCCAATGTTAATACTGAGCATTTGGTGTATATTAATGCTCTATTGGCTGCCATGACTCCTTGCAGGTTGAAGGGGATTAGACAGCAATGGTGGCAAAACTGAATAAATATTCATACATCAGGTCTTTAAATAGACTTTTCTACTTAAAAAAAAAAAAAACACCTTTTTAATCATTTTCATTTTATGTATAAAATATGAGGAAAAAAAAAGAACTTGAATTTTAAAGGGTGACTTGGTTCCACCTCTGCTGCAGAGTGAATCAGCAGATCCAGAGCTGCAGTGGAAGGTTTAGATCCATATTAAGGTGGCCTAGTCAAAGCACGATGAGAAACCAGTTCAGACACAGGAAACGGATCTGAAGAAGGCAGCAGAATCGTTTCTGGGATAAAACGCCAGCGACATGTTCCTCTGGGGAAGAAAACCAGCTGTTGAATTTAACTTTGATGTGTTTCTTCCTTCTCTTTACAGGCATTTGACCATTTTGTTGTTATTTACCCCCTAATTTTTAGCACCATTTTAGATGTGGCTCCAGAATTAAACCAGAACCAAACCATCTCCCCCTGAACACAGGAACAGAACCTCCCTCATGAGGAGGAGACCCTAATCAAAACAAAACAAAACACACACCTGGTTGTGTTACTCAAAGCCAGGTCCAATAGTAGAACTTATCAGTTTTGGATCAAACAAAGCCACAGTAAAGAAGTTTGAATCAGGATTTTATTTTAAAACCAAAAAAACAACAGGAAAAGCGATTCTTCCGTGGGAAAGCAACCATCTGGTTCTGGTTCAGTGGTCATCTGCTGAGGGACTCCCTGAGCCTCTCATACATCAGCTGGTCCTGCAGAGAGCATAAAGGCATCGTAAGAAGGGGGATCTTGGACCAGATCAACATAGATCCGCCATCAGAATCTGTTCAACCTGGGTTATGTAATCCAACTAGGAGTAGTAAACATCTCTTTATGTTGGATTAAGATAAAAAGATATGATCTAAACTCTCCTCCAGCCCTTCAAAGTGGCACTTGACATTTGTTCATTCACTGAAAACCTCTGAAGACATGGAGCCTGGAGTGTAGAAGTTTCCCTGATAGTTCTGGTAAGTCGTGTTGGGTCGACAGATCCAGTCCAGGTTGATAAATCTGTTGGTTACGGAGGACCACAGGGCTCCATACTCTGAGTGGGAAACATTTCCACTACACTAGTGTTCAGATGAAACTCACTCATCAACTCATGACCAACCCAGTCATGTTAGATGTATGTCACATAGATCTAAAAGACCTTTAATATCAAATGTAGCAAGAGGATAACTGAGAATAAACGAGTCAACTCCCTCTAGTCATTAAAATTTTCAAATACCCAGAAATACTGTCCAACTTACTGATTACTCCAAAGGTAGTTAATAATTACAACTCTTTTAAACACTGAACCCTTAGTTTCCCTCATCCAAATTGCAAAGAAAGAAAATCTCTTCTTTTTTTAACTTTGTATCGTCCACCAGCTTCTTACTCTGAATTTTTAGATGAGTTTTCAGAGTTCCTTTCTGATTTGGTGTTAAATACTGACAGGGTCATCATAGTGGGGGATTTTAACATCCATGCTGACATTGAATGCGATAGCTTAAGTGCAGCCTTTAATGCTATCTTAGACGCCATCTGCTTTGTTCAAAATGTTAGTAGTCCCACACATTCTCGTCTTCATACTTTGGATCTTGTGCTGACATACAGCATAAAATGTGAAGAAATAACAGTATTTCCTCACAACCCTGTCCCCTCTGACCACTTTTTAATAACTTTCAGGATTACTTTAACAAAGTTCTCCTCCCCTAAAAGAAGGTTAAATTTTAGCAGATAATTAGATAATGCAGTTAAAAATCTGAAACAGCCATTTAATTTATTCTGCTTTACAAATTGCTGATTTTGTTGATGGGGTTACTAGTTTACTGTATATTACTGCCTTGGACAACGTAGCCCCTTTGAAAAAGAAAAACTTTAAAATTAGAATAGAATGGGTTAAATGCAGAGCTCATGATAGCACTGAAACAGCTCGGTTGATAGGTGAGTGGCGGCCTAGTAGTCAGGGCTTAGAGCTTGGAATCCTGAGGTTCTGAGTTCGAGCTCCACTCCCACAGGCTGCCACTATGGGTCTCTGAGGAAAACTCTTAACCCCACACTGCTCCCCGGGCGCTGCACAACGGCAGCCCACTGCTCTCCAAGGAGATTGGTTAAATGCAGAGAGTTCATTTCGTTGGTCTGTACTTGTGAAAGTGTAATGACAATAAAAAAAGCTGGAAAATCACCAATGATATTTTCATAGCCTCAGATAATGGACTTCTATTAGATCTCAGAGATGCATTTGATCCAGTTGATCATAATATTCTTTTAGAAAGACTTGAATATTTTGTAGGAGGAAACAAGAACAGCACTAGACTGATTTAAAACTTATCTGTCTGACCGATTTTAATTTGTTCATGTTAATAATAAATCTTCATCTTGCTCAAGGGTTTCATGTGCAGTACCAAAGGGATCAGTGCTAGGACCAATTCTCTTAACTTTATACATGCTCCCAATCGGTACAATAATTAGATAGCATGGGATTAATTTCCACTGTTA